CTGTAGTCAGATCTGCATTATAAGCAGCAGCAAAAATAACTTATTGTCTTATTGTTATTGTCTAATAATTGTTGTAAATACTTTGAGTCTATTCATCAGAATCCCGAAGTGAATTCATAAAACATTTTAATAGAACGTCGTGTAAATGTTCTGATGGACGTGAGCTGAGTAAGAAGCGAGCGGCAGCGGGGCGGTCACTGTCGCCGGCCTGTAAGTCACTGGGTCAGCTGATCTCCCCTCAACATATTTTCCTGTGAGCCGCTCACACACCAGCCTGGAATCAAACCTTGCTTCCTAAATAAGCGCTGCTCAGCCATGCGATGTGTTCATGCTGTTTTCCCCTCAGAGCTCCGGAGGAAAGTGCAGAGCGGCCGCCCCGGCGCTGATAAATACAGTAGACGGCTTATGGCAGAGAGCCGACGAGGCCGGGGGTATTTAAACTTTTAGAGGCAGCGAGCGGAGACTTGTCACCTTGGTGCTCGGGATCAGAGTCGAGTTCACAGTCCTGCGTCCATGGCCGAGTATCGTACAGAGCAATCTGTCCATGTACCCGAAGTGACTGCTTCCTCTGTGACTGCCCCCCCACTGGATTCCTAGTGTCAACACAACCGACTCAACTCAGCTTTTCTGACTCAAATATTCAAAAGCAGCCGCACACAGAAACCTCCTGGTTTAACAAGTGGCGGCATGAAGACCCATCAACCCCGATTCTTTCAGGAATCACAGACCAGATCTCCTTGACATGTCCGTTAACCCCTGACTGAGGAACCCTGTGGATTTCTGTGACGTCCACATTTTCCCGTCAACACCTTCCAGGCGTCCAAGTGAGGATTTAATGGACACATTAATGCTCCCAGAGGATGAACTCTGACCTCTGTGCTCGCGCCCCCATCAGGAAATAACATCTGCTTCAATCTTCCACCGTCACGAGGCAGATTGCCATGAAATCTGAAGCCAGGAACCAAACTGTGAGCGGACATTAAGAAAATCAGATGGGCCGTCCTCCAAGAGCCTTAAGTGCAGCATTTTAACACAAACACAACAGAATCCTCAGAAACTCCTGATGGAGGACGACACTGTGATCCACACACACACACACAGACACACACACACACACACAGCTGGCAGACACAACGGCAGCAAAGTCAAACAAGTCGCACAACAAACACAGATGCACAGGAAACAAAGACAGCAGGAAAAAAAAAAAAAAGGGGGCTCAGCCGCCAAATCAGCACAAATCTCTTCACTGATTCAGCTGCACAGTAAAACACGTGACGCACAATCGACTGAAACAGACCGAACAGCAGAGACAAGGGCCGCAAACACAAAACACAACTCATGACACATTCAGCGTTTGTAAGCTTGAAACAAAAAGACTCCAAACAAAGAGCGCTTTGGTTGGTTGGTTGGTTTGTTTGTTTGTTTGTTTGTCTGCAGGATTACGTCGATTACCAGAAACAGAACTTGTTCAATTTCAGTGTCTTTACTAATTATTCGTAAATCCATGTTTTCAAACCATCGATTGATTCATTCAGAGTCTGAGTGTGATTCTGTGTTTTTATTTTTTTTGTGGTTTTTTTTACCATCGACCTGCCAGAGGCTGCAGATGTAAACTAGCATACGTGGCTAAATCTGGCACATTTATACGTAGGACTTCAGATCACGTGCTCATTAACGAGCAACTTTTCAATTAATAAACGTTTCGGATGAATCAGCCTCAGGAGGCGGTTTCCCGGAATTTTCACTTTCTTGACAATGTGACATCATTTATTGACATTTTCATTGAATTCTCAGAGAAAAATTAATGGATCTGATTAAATAAATGATTGATGATGATGATGATGATGATGATGACGTCACCATCTTTATTTACTAACAAACACTGCGACTAAAACTGCTCCTCTCTGCTAAACCACCGTGGACACCACCCGTCCTCGCCACCTGACTCCCTCACCTCCCTCCCCCTCTGTGTCTCGCCCACTCTGCCGCGGAGGGCGACAGCATGAACTCAGACTCACTGAAGCTGGAGAGGACGTAAATGAATGTAGACGAGGATGAGGACTAATTTGCTGAAGCAGAGGACGTCGGCTCTGAAAGGTTTGAGTCAGAGAGGAGTGAGAGGGAGGGAGAGAGGGAGGGAGGGAGAGCACCCATGGGAGCTGTGATGTGGAAACACAGGGCTCAGTCAAGAGGGAGACACTTCAGACCTCTGTTTATCTCATAACCAGACTGAATGGATGGACTGATGAACGGGTGGGCGGGTGGATGAGTGATGTGAACGATGGCAGATGGAGAGATAATGGTGAGGGACGTGAGAACGGAGAGAAGACGTGTGAGGAGGGAGGGAGGAAAGAAAGAGGGGGAAAAAAGAGACGGAGAGGAAATGAAAGAAAAGGAGCGAGCAGAAAATACGAGCGTGTTATTTTGATATGGAGCCGATTCTGTGATATTTAACGTCTTCATTCCGCTCAGCGTTGTTAGCTCCCTGCTAATTATCCTGCTCCGGAGAAAATACATAAACAAGCGATGATTAAATCTGTCCTCGTGTGCACCGTCAGCACTTTTCTCTAAACCTAATTAACATGGAGGAGTGTGTCTTTACTGGTGCTGCTGGACGGACTCCAGCCACATGATGCATGAGACTTTCAACAAGTTCGAGATAAGAGTTTTCAGAGCGTAATGAAGGAAATCTAAGATCTAGGTCAAGTCCCACAGATGTGAAGGAACATCAGAGTCTCACAGGATTAGTGACACTTCATCATAACGATATGAAATAATGAATAATGAGAAGAAATACAATTTAAACCTGTTCAAACCCATTTAAAACCAAGTGCCCAGAATAATGTAACACAATTTAAACTTGTAGAACTTTGTATTTTTATCACTAAGAAAGATCCACGTGTACGTTTTTATTAACTCGTTACCTCTTCGCCACAGAGGTTACGTTTGTCTTTTAATCAGCACGATTAAGCAAAAACTACGGGACGGATGTGATTTTTCGTCGCTCTCAAGCCGAGAGATTCTGATTGACAGGTTCACGAACTGAAGAGCAGACGCAGCTGAATCTCTGAGGCTTGTTTGTGTGGACGGTAAAAACTTTATGGGCGAAGCAAAAACACCAAGTGAGAGATTTAGTTTCATTATAAAACCGTGGCGGGATCTTTTAGAACATGGCGGCTCTCACAGGTGAGATCATTAATGAAACACTTTTGAGTTTGACGACATTAAAAGGGGCGGAGTCTGACTCATGATTGGACGCATCCCATTCCTGTGCGCAAACTCCATTTCCCATCAGACCTTGCCCTGGGTCTTTTATCATCAGTCCGCAGGCACGAGAAGGTTTTTAATTTCACGCGGCTGCTTTGTGTATGTTTTGCGTTCATGTTTTCGCGGTGGACTGATTTGGTGTCACAGGGAACGATCCGCGGCAGTGACGTGACTCAGAGGCGGAGCGGCCGCCGCTGCAGCCAGAACTGCTCTGTCACTTCTTATCTCCCGTCACCGGCACCGAACTCACTGGTCTAAGGACGACATGTCACCTTCTCCCTGTCGAGTCCTGTGGGCAAATACCAGCTCTCCTCCAGCTTGTCATTTTCCTCCCTCGTACACGAGCTCCACCCGCACAGATCTGCTCTCCTGCTTATGATGCTAATGTAAGCACTGCTCTCTGCTGCTTTGCATTTACTGTATGTCAGCCTGACACATCACACATCAGCTCAGCTACAGACGTGTGGTGTGTTCAGCTGCAGCTGGAATCTGCAAAGTGACAAATTTCCATTTGGTGAAATGGACAAATGTGAGTTTAAATCACATTAAAACAACTTTCACTTCACCACAGAGAATCTTCATCAAAAAAACTAAGCAAAGCCGACGTCACAAATCTTCAGCTCAGAGAACAAGACGTCCTCAGTCACACACACACACACACACAGTGGAGGTCGGCCGGTCACTCACCCATCACTCTGAGCCGCTCGGCGCCCACCACCACCTCCTGCTCGTCAGCGGAGAAGAGGAGTTTCCCAGCGGTGGATTTGACTTCAAACATCTTGCCCTGCGCTTTAAATCCGTTGGATCCTGGAGCGAACACACACAGCGAAAGAGGGAGGAGACATCAAAGAGGAGCGAGCGGAGGCCCGAGCTGATTTCTTACTGAATCAACTCCTGATATGTGAAAATGTGTCCAGGACCTGATGACATTTTAAAATTAATGCTCCGAGTTTACATAAACCATCACATGTTAATTCTTTCTGAAGAAGTGAAGGGGGATAATAACATCAAGTGAGAGTTACATTAAAGAACCAGATATCACGTGTTATGGTGTTTTATTATAAAACAGATTCAGGTTTCAACTCATTTTATCAGAACATTAAATTCCATATTTACACGTCCAGTGACATCATCGTTTTATTGTTTCTGTGACTGATTCTTGTTTTGGTCCCAACAATCTCCTGAAATCTAAAAAAAACACTTTGATATTTTCACTATTTATCGACAGAATCATTCAATTATCCTGATGAAACAATCGTTATATTTAAGGGACTGAGGGATGATGTGAAATTATTCAAATGGGACCTTTTATGCAGGTGATCAACAACATGATGATAAGAAAAAAACCACAAGAGCAAAGAAACAATTAGAATTTAAAAACTATTTGAGACTAAAGTAGTAAAATCAAGAAGATAAATAAATGAATGAACAGCAAAGTAAAAAGTGATTATTACAAAATAAGGGTTAATAATAAAATTGGTGAATATAATATAAAAACAGAAGACAATAAAAATAATAAAAAATAGAGTTAAATAAAAACTGTGAGATAAAAGAGAAATAGTAAGAATAATTAAAAGTAGTTAATGATAAAATACGTGTATGACGTCAGTCAACACGTCTGACTCAAGTTACTGAGACACTGAGAGAAACTTGTGGAGAACCTGCAGCTGTCCGTCCAGATGTGACCCGAGGTTTTCACTGTTTCTCTGAACGTCAGCAGGAAACACTGGAGCTGCCACGACTGTGACAAACAAGTGAATCAAAATGAAGACAGGTCCCTTCCACTCAAATTGCTTTGTCTCACACAACGGCCGAAAAAACACCCGGCGCCCGAGGGGCTGACTGATCGACGGACGCACAATGGATCCTGTCATTTTGCGCCTGAGACGAAAACCGGCGCCGCTGAGGAACGTCAGAGCAGACGTCCTCCTGCATGTCGGGGTTTAACATGAGAGACACTTCCTGTGTTTACAGACAGTGAGTTTCATTCAGACTGTCGTCGCTATCAGAGACTGACGGGAGGAGTGAAGACAAGAAGAAGAAGAAGAAGAAGAAGAAGAAGAAGAAGAAGAAGGTGGAAGCAGAGAATTCATCATGTCCAGAGTTTCATTCTGGAAAGTCTTTTAAATCTTTGTTCAGGACTCGTTCACACCTGGTTTGTTTCAGAACAGAAGAGGAGTTCTGGTTCTGGATCAAACTGAACCATGGTTCTGTTGGTTCACAGTGAAAACACTTTGTTGGACCAATCACAGGAAGTAGAGACACATTAAACTATAGAAGAAGAAGAGGAGGAAGCAGCGGCAGATATAATGTTTGAACCACGAGGACGTTCATCTGTCAGACAAACTTCTTCAGTCCCTAAATTCCAATGTGAAACTAAAACCACCCAGATAAAATGAAACTATGAACAAACACGTGAAGCTTCACACTTTCAAATGAAAACGTTCTAAATCAGAACTGAAATAAAATCTTTAATTCTTTATTCTTTAAAAAAAGAAGATTTGTTTCAAAGGTCAAGAAAATGAAGAACGCGTGTGAGGGAAACTCTGGGACGATGGTTTGTAAAAGAAAAACAGAAAACCTCTCTGAATAATTGAGCAGATGCCTTTCTACACGTGTTGCAGCCGATGTCGTCAGTGTTGTTGCTTCTGATGTTTGTGAGGGATGAAAACATGACGCGGATCAAAAGCGAACGTGAACAAGCACATGAAAGTGTTTCTCACCTGTGACGAGCTGCGTGAGGAGCTGGTTGTTGCTGCCCAAGATGTTGACCGACACGTTTCTGGACGACTGCAGGAACAGCGGGCGGCCCTGTGGACACACGGAGCGCCGTCTTGTTACGTCAACTGTTGTGTTTTTATGTTTTAGAACAAGAGAGAAACACGACTCACAATAAACCCAAGAGTTTATACTTTAAATGTTTTAATGCACTCCTCAATATTGAGATTTCTTTTTCAGGTTAGTGGAAATTTAACATCTCAAATATATTTTAGATTTTTATTTCACCTCGATTTGTCTGTTTGCATCTGCAGATTTAATCACAACAGAAGTTTTAAAGGTCGTTTTGTTTTGTTTAATCCCTTGAGACAGATTTCACAACTTCAGTTTAACCTTCACCAAACCTTCCAGTTTTATTTCTGTTCATACTCGGAAGGTTTTTACTTCACACTCGGATTTATGAAAGATTTTATTCCCACAAACATGGAGAGAATCACATGTTGTAGATGCTGTTGATTTTGTGATTATTCAGAAAATAAAAACGAGACATGAAAAGATCCCGTCTGATAAAACCTTTAAGTTTAAATACGTCAGCAACATGAGACAAGATTTGTTTAACCATGTTCAGATTCCACAAAACTTGATAATAGATTATTTATCAAATTATTTATTAAAGACAAACTGTACGTGATGGATGGAGACCACGAGTGTGATTTGGTTTTTAAAAATTCACTGATCGAAAAGAAACCAGGAACATGATGACAGAGACATGTACGACTCTACCTCAAAACACACACACACACACACACACACACACACACAC